AATTAGAATCCGAGTTGGCCTGACTGTGACCTTCAGCACATTCCATGACACCATGTCATCTCTTTCCACTAACGCAATGTAAATGAACTCTTATGAAACTACTGTTTCTATCTTGGGCTAAGCTCTGCATAAGAGAGATGAAATCTTCGGGATAAGGATATTTTGATTCTTCCCTTACTTCTTAGGGAAGAATTTTTTCCCCCCAGCCAGTTATGTATGACACCATCCAAGAGAAATTGAGTCACCTGGTCGTAGTCTAGCGTCAGGTGATTTCCTCCCTGTGACCACCAAGCTTGATGCAGAGATGAAGACACATTTCCCCAAAGGAAGACACTGGGGAAAATCCCTGTTCATCTTCCTGGTGTGCAGCATTCTCCGGTGGTTATGTTTCTTCTTTAGCCTCAAAAATCAATAACCTGAACTCTCTCTGATTTCCCCGGCCATTGTAGTAAACAATTGAGTGGGGGAGGCTTCTAAGGCTGAGAGGAAATTGTGATCTGAGATGTGAATGCTCCCTAAGGCCCAGCTTCAGTCTGCATCCTGCCCTCATGGACAGAGGTGACCCTTTATAAAACCTGGGAGAAGAATCCAGTGCCTGCCACAATAGCTTCTGTCCTCATATCAGAACCCATAAGGGCTTAAGCAATGTTTTCTTTTGTTCCCCCTGAGCTAAGGGGCGTGGGTATTAGAAACCCATCTGGGGACCCCACACAGCTCACATCCTGTGTGGTTTAATGTCCCTCAGTGGGAAACAATGTGTCTATAGCATTCTGGCCAACAATACCTTCCGATGCTAAGCGTTTAGTATAAGGAGCGCTTTTACATGCATTACGTCATTGGACGCTCACATCAATCTTGGGCAGGCGTATTTTTTCCCATCATCCTCTTTCACGTGGACTAATGCAGTAGACTTCAAACTCTCTGCTACTTTCTCTCGATTCCCCTAACGTGCCTCCCAAATTCTACTTCTAGAACACTAATATGATCTGTTAGAATACCTTGCCTAGCCCCTCCGTGACTATAGGGTAAAATCTGGCCTTGACTGTGATGAGAAACACCCTTCAGGTCTCAGAGGGTCCACCTGGCTTCATTTGTCTCTCCCTCTGCCCCCGAGCCATGGTCACACGTGACATCTCTGTGGTCTCTAACGGTACACTTTCTTTCATTCTTCGTGGCTGTGGTAAGCATAGCAGAGACCCTAGACTGAGCTGGCCTCCTGTCACCACTACCTGGTAGATAAATAACCTCAGATAAGTTACTCAAACCTTCTAGGTCTCATTTATAAAATGGGATCACTTGTAGGACCTTCTTTCAAGATGAATTGTGCTTAAAACAGTGCCCTGGAAAATTAGTGCCCAATAAAATTAGCTGTTAATATTGTGCCCTCTATCGTAGTGTTCTTCTCTTCTTTATATATACACCTGTTAAGTCTCTATTCATCTTTTAACAACCTTCATGTAAACCGCTCCAAATTTCCAAGGTTGCATTTATCTGTGTCCTCCTGTGCTTTCCTTGAATTTTCTAAAAACAAGTTAATAATAATGACGCTCAACCTTGGTCTTCCCCATGACAGTATGAGCTTCTGAACAATATAGTCCATTTCTGATTCACATTCATGTTTACTAGAACCTAGCCGAATGTCTAGCACATATATCTAATAGATATTTGTAAAGTAAATATCCATTTGGAACCCATGAGCTAGGATCCGAACTGCTCGTTCTTCTAATTGGTCTACCTGCTCCCACATTCTTCCCTCCGTCCATGCTTCCACAAAATCCAGAGGGACCAGCTCACACCTGTCATCTATTTCAATCCCTTATGGATTTCTGCTGCAGGTCCATAAGGTTCAGTCTGTGAACCAAGTCCTTGCAGGATCTGACCTCTATGTTTCCACCTCTGTATCAAGCTACGCACCCCCCCCCCCATTCTCAATTTCCTAGCCATGCCGGTCCCCTTTCAATGTCTCCCAATTTAGATAAAGAACATTTTCACCTGCTCTTATCTCTATTTGGAATGCTGCTTCCTAGGTGTGTGGCATTGCTCATTTCTTCTTAACCATCACATCTCAATTCAGGTCTCACCTCTTCAAAGGTCCTCTTTCTGACCACCTTGGCTAAATGAGCCCTTTGCCACCTGGTTACTCTCTGTCACATCACTTGCTTGTTTCCTTCGTGGCAGGGGGTTAAAAGTTAAATTATGCATTTATTTTTTGGCTTCTTCCACCTGGATAAAGACTCCCGTGGGGGTGGGGGCTTGATGTTTGTTCACACAAATTGCTGTTCTTCAAACAGAGCGGGTGCTCAAAAGACAGATCTTCAATAAATGAATGAATACAAAGTAGATCTTTTGCGAATGAACCCATTCCACATCACAGGAATCATCCAGGAATGACAAATCATAGAATAATAGAATGAAAGCCTATATCAGAGAAAGAAGGTGGAAAATTGTCATGGTATCATGATGTACCCATCTTCGCCTCCTCAAACACAGTCAAGTCCCACAGTGTAAAGTAAGTTAACTTATATAAAGCTCTCCCAAACACTCTTTAAATCATTAAGCCTCTTAAGAGTTAAAGCAATTGTAGTTAAAGAAGTGAATGAATATGAAATGCCTTGACAGATTAATGGGTAGTCACAAAGTTCAAAAGGCTTGGTTTGGATAGACAATCAGAGCAGTGAGGTCTGAAAGCTGCTCCTGCTGTCAGAGAGCAAGAGAAAATCAGGCAGAGTCTCCTTGAATGAAATGCCTGCTATTAATACTGCATTTTGTTTCCTACTGTATATAATCTAACAAGAAAAAATATTTGCCTAGCACTTTACATTTTAGAAATACCTGTTTACACAGTTTATCTCATTTGATAAGACGGTGAGTAATACAATAGCACAGTAAGCAATCCACATAGCCTAATTTTGGGAAATCAGCTCTATTACTTAGAAGGCATGACCCTGGCAAGTTACTTTCCATCTCTATTTCATTTTTGGTAAAATGAAGGTGTTAGCCTAGATGATCTTGAATCCCATTTAGCTCCTTGATTAGTACTATTTGTATTTAGCTTATGACAAATCAAGTTCCTCTTTGACCCAGGTCCAAGATATAAAGTTCTTATTGGGTCCTCACTCATGTTCCTAAAATGAAATTATCTATATGATCCTTGTTTTAGGTGCCTAGGTCAACAAAGAAGGCCCTTGTCTGTCTTTGGGTGTCTTTCTCTCTCTGTTCACTATTTTCTCCTCTTTGATGCCAATTCTGACTGGTCCATCTCCATGGGTCTCTAACTTCCTTGGTCTGATGGCCTCTGTCACTCTGCATTGCACTGTAGTCCCTTCCACAGCACAACCAAGGACAGCTGTCAGCTTCACAAATAAATTTATTTGCTCTACACTAAACCTCAAGGAAAAGTTGTCTGGTAGCTAATCTAATTTTTTCCATTTGCTTTGGAGAAGGCCCGAGAATTTTTCCTATAATTTTACATGTATCTTCTAAATGCACACTTTTGTATTTCTCTGCTGTCTCCTTGCTCTACTAATCATGGACCAGGGTAAGGGGGTGGGCAGTGCAGGATGTCTAGGGGTCATGCATATGGCAGACACATTGCTCGTTATCACTCCCCTTTCTGTTTTCCCAGGTACCTTTGCATCTCACTGGAACCCATCTATTTTTCATCTTCTCCACTGAAACCATTTGATGCTTCTGCTTCTTATATGTAAAGCACAGCTCACTATATTGCTATGATCAGGAGCCGATATACTTTAAAAAATGAAAGCTGTTTGGGTCTGACAGCAATTAATTCCCTCCTTCCACTCATGGCTTTTCCTGCATGGAGCAGACCCCTCTATAACTCTGGTGGGGGTACCAGAGCAAGGACTACAAGAAGTAAAACACCTGCATGCTTCTTTGAACATTCAGTCTGTCTTATTGTGTACAAAAGACACTAATTGGCCAGGTGTTCAGAAGCACCTGTAGGATCAAATATTCTTATGTTCCCTTGGAGGCCTGGTAATATGCATGCAAGCTACATATTTTCTTGCCCCTTTCGCTCTCTCTCTGTCAATATTTTGATATACCAGTTTGGAGACCTGAATTCTATAAAACATGATAATATATAAATCCATCTGCAAATAAGAAAGGGGGTGTCTGTATTTGTTCATTTACTCCGTCCTCTGGTCCTGGCAGTAAGCATGCACGTATAAGAGAGACTGTCAGTGCTAGGCTGAATTCTGTTCTTAGTAAGATTTCTAGAAAAGTATTCCACAGGCTGATTATAGATGTGGCTAATCCACTTTCCCTAAGGCGATTTTCTGTGCTGCCGGGCATATAACTGCCAGCCATCCAGCTTTTCTTCTCCGCACCTCTGCACGTATGTGACCGCTCACAAGGCAACTTCTACACATCGCTGCCTGGAATCTGTGGTCCTGCGATATCCCTTCTAGAAATAGTGAGGAGCAACTCTTGGACCATGTGTGATATGCTGTTTCTAACGCAAAAAAAAAAAAAAAAAAAAAGGGGGGAAGGTGGGGGGAGTGCATTGAGATTCGGTCCCAAAGTCAGCTCACCGACTGCTGCTGCCACCTTTCCTTTCCGCAGGCAACTTTCCCTTGACATTGTCTTTATAGAAGAATGAATACACCTATGTTTCATAGCCTTTGAAAGTCTCTTTTTCCCCCCTTTTCTAGGAATTCCAAACCCCAGACCGACATCGGTAGGGACACGGAGCACATTTTTGTTCTCTGTTCTGCTTCGCAAAAGGTTTCTCCTGGGTCCTTTGCTTTGCACCGCGATGCGTCAGTTACCGCCTCTTCCCCACCCCCCCGACCCCCTCCGCCGCTCCTCTTCTCCAGCAGCCGATGGGGGGGCGGGGGCTGCGGGGCGGCGGGTTCAGAGCTGCCGTCTGATTGGCTGAGCGGCGCGGAGGCGGGGGCGGTTTCAGAGCTGCCGTCTGATTGGCCGGGCGGCGTCGGCTGGTCTATAAATTGGACCCCTGCAGGCTCGCAAGCAGCTCGCAAGATTCTGACAGCATCGTCTGCGGGAGGAGGTCCCGGGGAGCTCAAAACAGAAGCCGCAGCGCCTCCTGCCTGCCGCCTTTCCTCCCCAGCTTGCGAATCTCACACCGAACAAGATGTGCAAAGGACTTGCAGGTCTCCCGGCTTCTTGCTTGAGGAGGTAAGGTCATTTTCAGCCACTCACCACGTTACACTTTCAGAGACACTTGCTTAGTTACCTACATGTACTACTGACCTCGTTCTTTGGAATCGGAAACAGTGTGGTCAGGAGAGCCGCGACTTGCTGGCTTTCTTCCAGGACCAGCTAGACCCTGTGACTAGAGGAGTGCGCACCAGATGTTGGCACCCGTGTGCTGTTTTATATGGACCTCGGTTTTGAGAACCATCCCGATCCTCTCACCAAGCTAGTTTGAATGAAGAAGTGATCAGAGGTTTTCGGACTCAGTGCAGTGGTCTATGATTGCTGTTGTTACTTGCCATCCCTGGGGTCTGTGGAATCATGGCTCTGAGCGTCCCCGATTGGCGGTGGGGGGTGGGGGTGGTAGGTCTTGTTCAGGGAAAGATACCCCAGAATGAGGTTTGGCTCCATCACCGGCACACTGTGCTTTCTGTGCGGTGCTGCAGTATCTTTCACTCCGTACGTTCTTAGAAGCAAGTGTGACAAAACAGTACCAGTTCCAGTACTGGGGCCCCCTCCTCTCGCTGCGCCTTCCCCCTAGTTCCTGAAATGCCTTACGTGAGTGGTGGATGGGAAGGATTGATCCTAACAAATCAGTTAAGGGTTCTGTAGAAGATCTCATCCTATAGACATCATTTTGTCAATGTACTGTCTCTTGATTTGAAAAAAAAAATAGTAAAGCTACTTCATATGTATGCCTTTGGCTTTTAAAAGGGTATAAATAAATGCTTTCAGAGAAGGCTTATGTCTCAGCCAGCTGAAGAAAAAGACAGAACTAGTGCATATTACATTATTTAATCTTACAGTTAAAGGTAGAAATTAAGTCTGTAGGTGCACCATAGAAGTAGCCCAGAAAGCACAGTCTTCCATGCACTTCTAAGGAGTTTACCTTTCAAGCATTCAGAAGCATGAAAGAATATTCTTTTTTAAAAGATGCTTTCGTGGCTGCTTTTAAAATGAAGCACCTAGGGAATGAGTGCCCTTGACCTCCACCATCCCTGTCCTGAGCTGAACGGAGCAAACTGCATCGAGCTTCAGTTTGCTCAGCTGTAAAATCACCCTCACAAAATACAGGATCATTAGGAAAGAGTGATGCTCTGGGAAGGATTTGGGGGGACAGATGAAAGATTGCACTTGTCTGCCCAACGAGCTGTGAGGCTCAGCTGGGGTGGTAACCTCTATATCAGCAAGGTGAATGGCCCTCGCCTCTCCTTGCTGGTCAGCTGCGTCCAATGCTTCACCCTAACATCAGTGCCTGGGACTGCAGAAGGGCATGGACTGCTCAAGGTCACATAGGCTGTGTGGGGCAGAGTGCACATCAAATCCGGCTTCCTGACTCCGGTGACCTCTGAAGTCATGCTGATTTTTCTGTGTTAGAAGGACAGATGTCACATACTTGCTGGGCCTACTTCCAACTCTTTATTGCATTGCTCAGTAACTCACATCTCAGCCTGATCGACACACAGAAAAGTAAATGAGTTCTATTTTGGCCGAATCCCAATGTGTTTCTATCTTAGAATCACATGAGCTTTCAGGATTATTTATATATTGGTATCATTAAGGAGGATTTTTGCATCCCCTGACCAATTGGAGAAGCAGAGGAGGGAAGACAGTCTTGTAAGGAAGAGAAGTACCACTTTGGGGTGGGGGTGTGCTCCAAGAACATAATGGAATTCAAACTTTCTGGGGGAAACGTGCATAGAGAAGCCACTGGTCTAGCAGAAGCCTTCGGAAAATGGCTTTTTATCCTTGTGACTTTGTTTCTCTCCCTCTCAGTAGGAGCACCTAGCCGCTCACTTCTTTTAAAATGACATTTCTCTTTAAACATCATTTCCTGGCTTTTATAATAAAAGGGATCCAAGCAAAAGAATAATTAACAGAGAGAGAAAGTTGAGCTTAAAAAGTTATTAAAAGCTTCTTCCTTCTAAGTCATGCGCCTCGCCTTCTGGTGTCCCCTAGCCATCTATTAAACAGGGGCAATTAGCTGAAAGCCTGGCTCTAATTAAACAATCAGTAGCTGCAGTGATGACTCTTGTTTGCTTCCCTTTATGGTTTTGAAGCCTCGGATGCCCTTTATAGTGTAAATGTTCTTAGAGTGTAGATATTAAACAGGAAGGAAGCAGCAGCACTTCAGCAGGGGATTGCTCTAGAAGCAAGCCCAAAGGAGCTCAGGTTTCGCCAGTGCGTTTGTGGTTGGTGCCTCCTCCTCCCCAAGCCGGAGCTGCACACCCCCTGCCCGGTACAGCCTGGTCCGGGATTGCTCCGCCCACCTCAGGCAAGACTGGGGCTGCACAGCCCTTCCCCTCCCCAAGTGCTTCTGCAGGTCCCCCTGAGGCAGGTGCAAACAGCGACCCCCCTCCAGAAGGCAGCGTGCCACATGTCACAGTTACTGCCTGCTTTCCGGTGCCCACAAATTACCTAAAGCGCAGTCACGTTTTCAGCGTGTTTCTATTAGAGACGCCAAGCGTTCCATCGGTCAGCGTGACAGGTTTATAGAAGAGGCTGCCGAGGCCGACTGAGGGTCAGAACTCTGTCGCAGACACAGCAGGCTGGGCCCTGGGGTTTGTAGTGAGTCAAGGGGAAGAAACAGAAGTGGGATCTTGTTTAACTGAGAGTTCACGCCACCTTCCCCTCCCATCTCCTAAGTAAACCACTCTCCCTTCCCTTAGTAATTGGACCCTTTGAGGTCTGCCATTAGGGCATCTTATAAAAGAGCTAATTGGCATGATCCTTTCTCCTCTTCTCCCTTGCAGTGCAAAAGATATGAAACATCGGCTAGGCTTCCTGCTGCAGAAATCTGATTCCTGCGAACATAATTCCTCCCACAGCAAGAAGGACAAAGTGGTGGTTTGTCAGAGGTAAGAGAAAAGGCCTCAGAGAAAACCCATTGAGTATGAACTCTTTAATGTCAGGAATGTTCTAGGCGGAAAGAAAGAAGGTATGTTCCTGGTTAGGCTAGACTTGCATTTGAAATCTCCATGCATTTAATGGAAAGACTGCCCTACTCAACAATAGATCACATCCTCAAGATGGAAAATAAAATATCTGCATTTTTTTCGGGATCTTAAATTTCTGGCCCTAATTTTGTATCAGAGCATTCAAAGTTATTTTTTTTCTCTCTCTGTAATATCTCTAGGGTGAGCCAAGAGGAAGTAAAAAAATGGGCTGAATCACTGGAAAACCTGATTAGCCATGAATGTAAGTCTGACGGCTTTCTTCCCTGTTAGGGTGGGAATAGAAGCTCTCTGGATAGCCATGTTATCTCCTACTGTATTTGATCTAATAGGAATTGCAGTGAGGGTTGGGTTTCCTCTGACTTCCAGACTCAGGAGAATCAGTCTGTTTAAAATTTTACCATGCCCTCGAGCTTCATGATCCGCAATGGAAAGTTCATATTGAAGCCGTGTGGCAAATCATCTCTCCCACCACATGGATAAAGGGTAGAGGGAAACGATATGCCAAATACTGAGATTTCTTGCAAAATCGACCTCAGTTTCTCTTTCTCAAACTTATTTTGGCAATTGGTAGCTGCATGGGCATTTCAGAAACACCATTTTCTTAAAAGAGACTTCACGCCTGGAGCAAAGAGCACTAGGTATAACTGGGATCCAGCAGGTATCAAACAGAATAGGGTTACCTGACCCCAAGTGACCCCCAGAAAGTGGGCAGAGAGGGGATTGTTTGAATCCATGCTTTATTCTCTCAAGCACGTTGGCTTTCCCTGAAATATACTGTCCAGGAGGCTGGTTGGCCAGTGTGATGATGAGTGTGGCCCTTTCTCCCCCATCCCAGGTGGGCTGGCGGCTTTCAAAGCTTTCTTGAAGTCTGAATACAGCGAGGAGAACATTGACTTCTGGATTAGCTGTGAAGAGTACAAGAAAATCAAATCGCCCTCTAAACTAAGTCCCAAGGCCAAAAAGATCTATAATGAATTCATCTCCGTCCAGGCCACTAAAGAGGTAGGTCTTCGTGGCAGAGAACTCTCTGGGTCTTAGTGCAATTTCCTACACGTGGTGTTCAATGGCATGGATCTTTAAGTCATCTGAGTTAAAGGAAAAGATAGAACCGTGGAAGAGGTTATTACAATCTTGACCCCCTCAAGTAAATCATTAAGAAAAAAGCTCTTTCAGAGGTGCCTGGGTGGCTCAGTCAGTTAAGTGTCTGATTTCAGCTTAGGTCATGATCTCACAGTCCGTCGGTTCGAGCTCTGCGTTGGGCTCTGCGCTGACAGCCAGCTCAGAGCCCGGAGCTTGCTTCAGATTCTGTATCTCCCTCTCTCTCTGCCCCTCCTCCAGTCGCTCTCTGTCTCTGTCTCTCAAATAAAGACATAAAAAAAATTTAAAAAAAAAAGATAAAAGCTCTTTCATGCAGATGACTTAGATGATCTCCCTTCTTGAGTTTTTTGGTAAGCCTTCCCAATCTGTGAGAAAGAATGAAGACACCCCCCTCCCCACCCAGAAGCAAATGAACCTTTTAAAGTCTCTCACTCACATGTGCCAGGGTGGAGCTAAATGATCTGTGTTTTCCATGTCTGGGGTGCGGAAGGCACACGCTTCTGACTCATGCAAGCAGCCCTCCCGTCCTCCGCAGGGGCAGCGTGCCTAATATGTCTCGGCCTTTACCCTGCAGGTCAACCTGGATTCTTGCACCAGGGAGGAGACAAGCCGGAACATGCTAGAACCCACAATAACCTGCTTTGATGAGGCCCAGAAGAGGATTTTCAACCTGATGGAGAAGGATTCCTATCGCCGCTTCCTCAAGTCCCGATTCTATCTTGATTTGGCCAACTCTTCCAGCACCGGCTTGGAGAAGCAGAAGGGAGCCAAGAGGCCCGCAGACTGCCCTTCCCTGGTCCCCCAGTGCGCCTGACCATCCCACGGCACCGGAGGACGACATACCCAAGACTTAATGCCTGGAAAACCCGAGGCCAAATATCGATCTGTATTAGGAACGAGGGCTTTTATCCGCCTTGTAGCTTAGTGTTCACGCTGCCTGCCATGTGTGAGTCACTCCCGTGTGCGAAGTAGATTTAGCGTTGGTGTTTCGGTGTCCGTCAGGGCACGACCTCATTCCAGTCTGGTGTTCCCAGATTTCCTTTAGGGTCCCATGTGAGCAAGTCTCCAGATAATGGCTGTGCAGGGGTGGCTTCCCAAAGACTCTGAGTTCTCTCCTCCCAACGGCTTGACCTCAGGCTTGTTGGTTGGTACATTTCATGTGACATCCACAAGCACTTGCATTCTGTTGGCACTTTCTCTAAACTCTAAGTGTGTATATGAGGTTGATCTACTGTGTGTATACGTGTGTGTAAATATATGTATAGACGTAAGTATATTTACATATATACATATACACACGTTTACATATATACATATATTTACACACACATACATGCACATTCTATGTATATGTGTCTATATAATATATACATATATACTTCTGCAAGAAGAGATAGGAAAGACCCTAGGTGCTCGCCACTAGAGAGGGTGTACATTCTTATATGCATGTTCTGATCCCTGGCCTTTCATTCCTGCAATCAGACAGGCAATCGGAGCCAGCCGCCCTGAAGGCCAAGAAAGGCACGCCAATCTGGGCAAAGTGGATTCTGTAAAACTCCATAGGTCTTGGCCCGAGAAGCAGCCAAGGGACTTGATGCGTAGTTTAACCGTGGAGAGCCTCCCAAATTGAACAGTATGCTAAGCGGCAAATACCTAAAGAATCTTCGGCCCGCCTGCCGCAGTTTTGTCTCGGGCTGGTTGTTACCAATGGCACTTTGCAGTCCCTAAGCTGCTGGCTTCCCCTTCTTTGCCTGGGTGCTTAGTGCATAATGGTTGGCAGGGTTGGTAGAGAGTTGGGAGAGAAGATGCTCGAACGGAAGGAAGAGATGCGAGTAGGGCCTCACCAGCTCTACGTGGGGGATGATCCTGGGTGAGTGAGGGCACAGAACTCCAGAGTTCATAGTTTTATCCTCGACTCTTTTTTCCTCTCCAGATCAAGGTGCTCTCCTCGTTTTGTTTTTTTCCTGAGGACTTCAGCCATCTGATGAGGCTCCTTTCTTCACTGGGGGGTTGGTGGTTTCCCCACCACGGGTCCAGGCTCTGTGTCTGCATCTCTGGAAACCAGCAACAAGGGAAAGATTTTATCTTATAAAGGGAAACCTGTTTGCACACACAGAAAAGCCCTCGTAAGTTTCTCTTTTGAGAGCAGGATCTTGGTCATTCCATTCGCAGATATCGTGGCTAACAGAGCCTGGAGGTACCTGCTTCTAGGCTCTGCAGACTGAATGAGAGGGAAAGGGGAGGGGGTAAGGGGAGATCAGTTGTTAGAACTACTGTTTGGAACTATTCAAGGCACATGAAATACTTGAAAATTTCTCATTTATGTTATTTATGATGTTTTGTACAGTGTTTTTATTACTGTATTGTTTTATAAATGGAGGTGCAGGATATCACCTGAATTATTCATGAATGGCCAGGAAGTAATTTTCTTCTCATTCTTGTAAAACCACAGCCTTCGAAGCGCACACACGCGCCCGCATGCACAGTGCACTGACGCCTCCAGCATACATGACACACGCGAGCACCTTGTGGCTCTTAAGCCGACAGGCCGGGTCGCAGATTGAAGACACCAGAGTGTGTATATGCAGATCTCACTGAATCAGAGATCTAGGTTTTCTCATCTGAGCCCTTTTTGTCCCTCTGGCAGTCCTCGCTCTCAGTGTTCCCAGGGTCCTTCGTCACTGTCCCTCTCATCCCACAATTTTGTCTCTGGTTGACGCCAGGACCCCAACATGTGACTCCGTGGACCTTGCCCTGTTATAACTGTCACGCCTTCCAGATTGTACCCGTGCTCCTGGACTGCTCTCTCACACATAGGTCTGGAAGGTCATTCTGAATGAGAAGTAAATTATTTTATGTAATACTATTTCCAAGCGTGTTTTTCAATTGTATTGTCCTCTTACTTTATCACCGCTGACCATGCTGAGCTTCCGCACTCACAGCTCGTGGGCAGAATTCTCTCATGTGCATGCCTGCTTTTATCATGTGCTTTAAAGGCCTCAAAGCTGATGCTTCCAGTGAAACACACGCAGCTTAACGGACAAGGGTAAATAAATACTTCGGACAAAACTATCTGCTTGTAAACATATTAATGATCCACAGAGACGTGATGAGACACAGCAGGACGTAGAGTGATGGTGGCAAAGGGCTCGGATCCAGTCTCTGATCGCTCCCGGGCCAACTCTGGAGAAGAGAGCAGAAAGTAGACGCTGTCTCCTCTCCAGTTCCCGCCGCCTCTCATCATGGAGCTGAGGCGTTCTGGCTCCCGAGGCTTTGCTAAGAGACTTGGTGGTGTGCCTCCAGGTCCTCAGTGACTGTTCCAGGGATAAGAGTCCATCTTTCAGAGCTTCTCTCCTTCTGCCTTCAATAACCTGCCCGATGAGAGAAGGTGGGAGTAGAGGAGACTGAGAAGGTGGAGGGGAGTTGTAGATCCCCAAGGGACAGATTCCTGCCCAAACTGCTCAAAAAGCCCTCCATCTCCCCTTACAGATTCTCTCCCCCCAAAAAGAGGTATAGACTGTTCACGTTCACGGTCATGGGTACTATATCCATTATGTCATGAGACGCCCCCCCCCACCCCGGTTCCTGAATCCTACCTTTCCTGTTGCGAGCGTCAGCTGACAGGTGTTAGGGACCACAGATTTCAAACTATTTTGACGAACAGAGCCTTTCAGGGATCTGATGAAAATTATGGACCATATCCTGAGAAAAACACACAGAGGGATCCAAATGTCTCAGAAATATTTAGAGGAAAGCTTTACAGCCTCCCCTCAAGACACGCAGGGCTGCCCTTCACCTCTCCCATGTACATGTGTTAGACTCACCACAAGGGCATGGTCTCTGCTCTTGGAGCAAGCACCATCTACCAACTATGGCAGAGGAATTCAAGTCACCGCTACTGGCAAATGTGAGCGGTGTGCTTTCCTTTAGTCTCTACCTTGCTCATCCTTTTCTTTCTTCTTGATGGTCAGCTGTGAAATAAATAACACATGCGTGCAAACTCTTTCTGACCGCGATCACGGAACACGTTTTAAAAAACACGTTATTGCTTATTATGTGCCAGATATTGTCCTAAGCACTTTGCATGGATAATAAATTTAATTCTCACTCTAACCCTAAGGGATCAATGCCAGTCACAGGCATTGCCTCTGTGAAACACCCGCCAACTTTTACAGAGGCGGAAATGGAGGCTCAGAGAATTATGTACCCTGTCAAGGTCACACTGCCATCAAGGAGCAAAGTGAAGATATGAACTGAGTCATCTTCGCCTCCAGAGACTGTGGCAGAGACACGAAGCACTCACCAAATACCCACATGCCAAGGGATGAAGAACAGAGGGTCACTTTAAAGCCCACAGAGCTGGGCATAGGGCCAAATGCATTTCTACCTCTCTCTTCTCCTTCTCTGGCAACTGTGGGGATTATATGTTTCAGATTGTAGAGCTGTGAGATGAAGAACCTCTTGATTCTCTTCAGAATATCAAATGAGGGGCACCTGGGTGGCTTGGTTGGTTGAGCATCTGCCTTTGGCTCAGATCATGAGCTCACAGTTTGTGAGTTCGAGCCCCACGTCGGGCTCTGCACTGACTGCACAGAGCCTGCTTGGGATTCTCTGTCCTATCGCTCTCGCTCTCTCAAAACTGAATAATTAAACTTAAAAAAAAAAAAAGAATATCAAATGAACATGGAAAGGGCTTTGCTGATTTGAGTCATTTAGTTTTGAGGCTGTTGGTTACTATAACAGAGCATAGCTTATCCTGAGAAACGTAGAGACCATGCTATTCACTATTTCACCCTGTAGTTCCGCCACGCGGTTGTTATTTCATTGTGTGGGGGTCAGGCACATAAGGGTGGACTGGGAGACTCTTTTATGTTGACAGCAGTTTGCAAACTTGACTTTGGAGAAACTTCCTGACCCAGGTGCCCCAAGCTGCATTCCGGCACTCCCTGCTTATGTGCCTGGATGTTAGAAATAAGATCACAGGAGGATGAAAGAGGGGGAAAGAGGAAAGAAGAAAGAAAAATTTAAAGAGCTGCCTTCACAGGAAGATTCACTATCCATCGGCCTAGGTCCAACACGTGGACCAAAAAAAATCGGTAAAGCAAGCCAGCCAAATAGACTGGCTCATGTGACCCACCAACACCCCAACATGCAGTATCAAAACAAAAGGGCTTCATTCACTGAGTTCAGCGACTGATTCCAAAACATGAGTTTGCTTAGGCCAGTAGGCTGCATGACAGGCACTAAATTGTTCATCATTAAAACTGTTTTTTAAAAAACGTTTATTTATTTATTTTGCGAGGGAGCTAGAGAGTGTGAGTGGGGGAGAGGGAGAGAGTGAGGGAGACAGAGAATCCCAAGCAGGCTCCATAGCAATCAGCAAAGATCCTAATGTGGTGTTTGAACTCATGAACCATGAGATCATGACCTGAGCTGAAACCAAGAGTTGGACACTTGACCAACTGAGACACCCAGGCACCACCCCCCCCTCAAGAAAATGTTGTTTTAATATGCATTGCTTTCTAAATGTCACACAGAAAAATGCCAAGAGAAAGGAAAATACTAGGTTTTGTCCTTTTTGTTGTATAGAACCAAGGCACAGTTGAGTGAGGTGACTGAGGAAGAGTTCACCTAGAAAGAGTAACCAAGTTTTTAGATTTTGCGCCCAGTATGATAAAGGCAGAGCTGAAGCCAAGAATGACTGAATTTCTTAAGCACATGGATGGAAGTCAACTTGCCTGGAGAGAGAACTATGTTTCCAAAGCAGAGCAAAAACTTAATAATAGTAGCACCTTACATTGATGGCATGCTTATTAATCGCCAAGTCTCTATGGAGTATTTTCCATGATCTAATCTCACCCTTGGACATAAACTCCATGGTAGACATGATGATTATCTTTCCATTGCGGGTGGAGAGAATGTGACACAGGCAAGTTCAGAAATGCACCCAAGATCATACATCAAAGAAGTGGCAGAGCATGGCTCAAACCCAGCAATCTGCCTCCAGAGCGAACACATTTAAGTACTCTAGTCAAGGAGAAGGGGAAAGGAGTGAAGAGAAGGAAGAAGACTCGACAAGTAGGGAGACTAACTGGAAGAAAGGGAAGTGAAGGGGAGAAGATGTAAAAAGATGAAAAAGGAAAGAAAAGGAAGCTAGAAGAACTAGAAAATGTGAAAGGAAGGAACATGATGAATTGAGCAGAAGAAACAAAAATAAGATGCATGTT